CCTGATAAATACGTAAACATTATCAAAGCGCTGTGCGCGCATAGTCTGGGCAGTGAGGGTGTATGGCAAACTGTTGCCGCACTTCAGTATCACCATCGGTGTGAGACAAGGTTGCCAGCTGTTCTCTTTCCTATGTAACTCCATTGATGGAGTCATGGAAATAGGGTTCGCTGGACACGAGCTAGAAGGCGTGGAGCTACTTTATGGTGAGCGACTGGTGGGAGCATCGCGTGAGCAATAAGCGTGTTCGGCGTCGCGTATTTGGTGCAGGAAAAGATAGTGAACTGTTCAGCACCATTATATCACGCACCAGGCTCCGATGGCTAGGCCACGTGTTGCGCATGTCGGCATACCGACTCCCGCGAGGTGTATTGTTTGCGCGTCGGGGGTGCGGTTGGAGGAGGACGGGAGGCCAAGCGATGAGTTAGTCGAGAGAAATGAAAACCCTCGCTTTGAAGTTGGCGTCGGTTGGAGTATCCCGACTGCCTGGCTGGGGTCCTAAGGACGATGAACACGTTTGGTTGGACACACTTGCTGATATGGCCAGGAGCCGGCCCCAATGGCGTTTGTGTTGTGAGTTCCGTTGTCCATCCCCTCCTGCTTAGCATCCCCCTCCAAACACGATCTCATTGGTTGGGTGTGATATAACTCTCTTTTTGCGGCAGGATAGTCGGCTGTTAGATCTCCGGAACGATGTCCATCCGTTGCTGGGGATTTACCCGGCGTGCCTCCGGTGTTTTTGCTTGCCTTTTGTATTGCGGCATAATAGCTGAGATGTTCTCCACTTGCAGCTAACGTGTATAAAGATGATGTTGGTAGCATATCCTTCTTGTTTGCCCAGTTACGCACCGAACAAGTTGTCGTTTCGATCTGAGTGAAACGAAACGGGCAAAATGAGTATATAGCTCGTTCCACGTTGTCTTTTCACAGACACCCCACTGGATAGACCCATCAGATCTTCGGCTCATCTGAACGTCTAAGTACGACTTTGAGTTGCTGCACTCGGATTCCAGGGTGAATTTTACGTTCGTGTGAGCTGAGCTGAATTGCCTCCGTTGTTTTGCCGTGCAGATGCAGAATATGTCGTCCACGTACGATTCGTAGTTGACTAAAATTGTGATAACTTCGTCCAGAGTTGTTCTCCAACTTTCTCATAACTAGGTCTGATAACAGAGGTCTTAACGGAGACTCCATTGCGATTGCGTTCTTATATCTATAGAAATTTTCGTCGAACTGGAATTGTATGCTACTGATACACTTAAGAAGTAACTGTTTCAGTCTGTCGTTCGAAAAGCCGACATCCAAATGATGTGATTAACCAGCCTCACATACGTAGTTAATGGTCTCTTCTGGCGGAACACCGGATCTAGCGAAAACATTTTCCTTTCAGTTAACTCCACATGTCCGAAAGTATCCCTGAGACTGTGTTTGGATGAGACTTTTCTAACCGGTTCTATAATCATAGCGAGCCATTATGCTGTTGAATGTATGGAGAATCAGTTAAGTCCAATATGGGCTTCAGTGGTAGTCTCTCTTTATGCACTTTCGGTAAGCCATAAAGACGTGTAATCACTGCCTATGTGGAGTGCGTGTGTTCCAACACGACTGAGTCAACCGCATTGTCTTACTTCAGACAACGTAATAGCTTTGTAACTGTCATTTCTGTTCCACCCGTCTTGTCTTTCCATTTCTCTATTATCCAGAATTTCGAATGATCACCAAAGATAGCATTCGTCTTATCGATGTAGTTATATTTATCTATACGAACGATCCCTATTCCTTTATCCGGCAGAGAGATCAGCACATTTCCGTTCCGTTTGAAGGCATCTAAGTGCGCGGTTTGTCAACAACTGTCTGATTTCAGGTTTGTGTTTCAGGTGCTGATCTCATGTGTTTACCATGGTGGATCTAAAATGTTCCGCCACTAAGGCCGAAGAGGGTTTGAGCATAAACACTTAGAAATTAACACTTTCTAACTGGACTACTATCTCTAGATAACTTGTGTTATTACCGGGAACTAAAGTTTGGATTGAGAGAAAGCGCCTCAAGTAGCGTCTTATAAAGATGTAAAGAGGAAAAAATGTGGTCACACCTTTCCAGGTCAGATGCAAACAGGGTGTTTTGCCTTAGTCGTACTGATCTGCTGCCGCATTGAGATTCGTTATCCATCAAATGACTTTGTGAATACACGTTGAACAAAAGCTTCGAAGCTTGTGTGTTCCTCCGCATCCAGATAGTCCAGTATGAGGGAGAGTAAATGTATTGATTACGCTCCAAATCAAGTCTAGAGGCAAATGTGTCATGTTCGTTTAATGTATGACCCTGCAGTGCAGTATTAGTAGGATTAATGCGGTTTCATCTGAGTATTTACCAAAAATGTGACTATGTGATTCCACAGTAAAATGGCTCGCTGTGATTCTAGAACCGGTCAGAAAAGTCCCAATGCAAACAAAGCCTCAGGGATAATTTCAGCTCTGTAGACGCCATAAGACATGTGGAGTTAACTGGAAGGAAAGTGCTTTCGCTAGATGCAGTGTCACTCTGCACCAGTGTTCCGTTAGAAGAAAAAAAAACAGACTACGTATGTGAGGATGTTTGATCACATCATTTGGATGTCGGCTTCTCGAACGACAGACTTAAACAGTTACTTCTTAGGTGTACATAAAAGGTGTAACAAACAATTCCAGTTCGACGAAAAGAGATATAGAGATAAGGACGCAGTCACAATAGGCTCTCCGTTAAGACATCTGTTAACAGCTGTATTTACGAGAAAGTTGGAGAACAACTATCTGAATTAAGTTATCAACAACTTAGTCAACTACGGATCGTACGTGGGCAAAATTTTTTGAATCTCAGATAGTCACCTCTGCAAAGAGGAACTAGTGAAGCAATTCAACTCAGCTCACACTAATGTAGAATCCACTCTGGAATCCGAGTGCAACAACTCAATGTCGTACTTAGCCGTTCAGATAAGCCGACAATTTGTTCGACGCATAACCGAGCAAGCAAGAAGGACATGCTACCGGACGAGTTGAATTTCGTACGAAGCCTATGCAAGAAATTTGGCTACCCAGAGAAACTCGTTCGGATAAATATGGAGCCTCGAGAAGCAAGGGTAGAAGTGGTGTCGGTAGGTAAGAAACTGATCCACTTATCGTTACTTTCCAAGATGAGCGAGGTAGCTGAATCGACGTCTAGGTTTTCAGAGGCCATCGCTCAAACCTGCTACACAGCTAGCTTACGGATAAACCAATCTAGTACCGACCCTGAACTAACAACTTAAGGATAGGGTTTCATGAGCAAGTACTTCTTTCTGTGTGTACTCTTTCTGATGCTTCGTCGATAAAGATCGCTGAGCTGAGCAACTTCATTGCAAACCGTTCGCCACCAATCGAGATGCCACCACGAACACCACAACAACCGAACTGTCCGAGAGATCCAGGGATCATTGTCCAGCTTGACCGTACAGAGGCGTGACTAGATCAGTGGAAAGTGCAGTGTAAGCACACCTTTTCGATTCGAACGACCGGGTAAAAGTGCATGAGACGTTCCAGCCGATCTCACGCGCATTCAGATGCCATACACGAGCGGTTAAATGTCGTCTACTGGCAGCGACCGAGGCAATCCCCATTAGGCTTCATGACCATGACCTATGTGCGCATAAGAAATTTGTCCTGGCACACATGCTACGCTGGTTCCCTGTGACATTGACACATACTGTGGGAAACACCACACACACACACACAAACACACTCTTGATCGCCGTGGGAACGGTCACCCAGATCATGTGGGTTTCTGAGCCTGCGCCCTTATCTGAAATTTGCATTCCTTTACACTCATCCGTGGTGTATGCGCCTGATGAGGAACCACTGATAGCGTGCTTGTGCGCTAACACTTGTTTCTGAAGCACATATTGTCTGACATCCAGCCTAACAAATTGCTAACCAAACACGCCAGAGCGGTTAGGTCGCACGCAGAAGTTGCGTGACAACTTTAAGTCACCTGACTGGTAGGGTCTAAGAGAGATTGGAACAACACATGAGTCTTTGTGAGGTGATGGGGTTCAAAAACAAATGGTTTGTCTATAGATTCAACCAAATGTTGTAGTGGAAGTGAATAAACGCCATCAATCTAGGTGGCGCACGGGAAGATTCGGTCCGGCTCTTTGCTCACAATTAGTGACTCCGGGTGAGTGGCGTGACGTACAACGTTTACAACGACTTGAAAGTCACACTTTTCGGGTACTACCACTATAGTGTTGACATAATGTCCGCACCTTACATCAAAACAGAGAAAGGGTGAGTAGAAAAAGGGTGTTGAGTCCCACGAGAAAAGTGTAACCTAAGGTTTTCTCCGTGGCCACAGTTCGAAAAGTGATGTGAAAGGCAAAGAAAGGTCGTGGAATCCTTTGCTTTAAATGCTCCGCGAAAAAGGGCGACACCGCGATGAGTCGGTGCCTATAACACTGAGATAACAACTCACCCGGTACGTAAAAGGTTGTGAATTAACACTGAGAACTCAAGCAGTGCAGCTTTCACAGTAATCCGAAACTGCACCTCAGGATCTTGAGTGGCAAACTGTTGATGTATTCCAAAACCTGAACGTGTAGGGAGCAACTCACCACATGGGCCATGTTTACGTGGGTTAACGTTGAAAATAGATCGATTGGAACCGCAAATTGGTATGCTCACTGAAGTACAGAACATTACATCGTACGAACGAGTACCAGTTCAAAATTCCCGCAAGATCCGATAAAGAATGCATTAAGCCAACTTGACTAATTAGGATACCGTTGTGACGGAAGCAGCCAAAATCGCCAACAAAGCGGAAAACAAGTTGAAAAAGTGTACGGGTTAGATGAGATATGGTAGATCGGTTAAGAAGGTATCGTGATCAAGGCGAATGTGAATGGGTGAAAAACACCACGCCGCAAAGAAAACAACAAAAGCAACTGTGAGAAGTGGGGATGCACTATAATGGAAAGCAGATAAACGATATACCTGCAGTTTCTGGGTAAGGGCATCCAGTTTTCCGACAAAGTCAACCATTTCTACAGCATAGAGGAGAAAAATGAAGGAGGTGTAAGCTAGTTGGAATGACTAAGCTTGAGTGAAAAACTCGTACAGATAAGACAATCAATTTGATAGTATCATCGGTGTGTGTGAGCCACAAGTTGAAAAAATACCATAACCGAAAGACAGTCAGAAAGTTGGTTCCCTGATTTGCACTCCAATGTGGGGAAAACAGAACACACTGCTGAGAAAAATTGGAATTTCCTGGTGAACGTGCGGGAATATGCTGCAAGGAAACTTGCTACATATTCAAAGGTCGAAAGCGATTCGATTCCCATGCTGTGTTCAATATCATGCACCTAGTTCAGACGACTGTGAGCCATTTTGGATGACATTAAGATACGCCACTTGTATTACCGGCCGGTGGTGGTGGTGTCTTTCACTCGAAATGAGTGTACACACTTGTAAACCGTCGAAGGTACACAACGGTAGACCGAGGAGTAATGCTCGGTGAAGTGCCGTCCGCGCCATAAATGTATTCGCTAGCTTGGTCAGAGCTGACTGTGCCACTAATCCATTTAAAACATGAATGTGCACATTAAACAGACCGAAAAACTGGTCATCGTTTTGGCAGTCATTTCCTCGGCTAGCGAGCCAAATTACGTTCCTTCAGAGACACAACGTCCCAACCACTAGATCTGACCCAACACTGCAGCAAAACCTAACGAGCCAGTGCGAAAAGATAGCAGCCTTGAAAATTACATCAGACACGTAGTCACACCGACTGCCGGGATCCGTTGAAACTCGACGGGTCAAGCCCCGTCTGATGAATTCCGAAAAGATGGCATTGCTAACCACTGTGTTGCAACTGTTTGAACGGTTTTATCCGTGGTGAAAGCCACTCAAATACGAACCAGTCGGGAAATAAGAAGCTATGCTGCCCGGTGGAATGGGAGCTCAAACACAATCAGGTCGTTGGAGAGTGCGTGACAATTTCTTACCAAGTTCGGCAGCCACCTTGATCTGGACACGATTATGACCTTGTATTGGTGGGAAAGACAGCCTGACCAAGTAGTTACTGAGGTCCTAAATAACGTCCAATTTCCGGAATAATAATAATAATGTGTCAGCTGTACGCCGTAACGGCGCTTCGCTGCCACGCAACCACCACTAGTCGCGCGCGGGCTGAGTATACCGCGAGGACGCCGGAATAGAGATAATTCATGCAATGTAGGCAGCTCCCAGTGTCTACAATAATCACAAAATGCATTGATGTCATCCACCCCAATGTAAAACATATATGTGGGACATACAATGCCAGAAAGTCAGACAAAAAGAAACGCGTAACCGCATAGTGCCAATGCAAGAGCACCTTACTACCTGTAAATATATGATCGGTGATGTGAAATATACCTCTAGTATTATTTTTCTGAATATTAATATCATTATTACATTGCTTAGGAGCATGTTCTCCGGGACTATCCCTTGGCATAATTCCAAATAAGTACGAGGCCAACCAAGAAGATAAGATGAAACACGTAGAGGTAAAGATAGCGTTATTTCGATGTTCAGCTTTGCAAACCATGTGGCCGGGTCTCTTTTCCAACCACACTCATCACGTACAAGCAGAGGGGGCAGCGCAGCGAGCGTTACATGGATAGACGAAAGAGATAGCCGAGAAACACTCACAAGTGTGGCGTAATGACGTAAATTAGACGGTGACTGCTCCGTTCCTGCATACACAATATCATGAATCTCATTAATACTCGTGTGTATCTGCTAGTGTGTAAGTGGGTCAAGCTGTGGCAGCGATAGACCGCTAGCAATAGCCAGTATATTCTCTCTGGCACGATGCGTTACAGCTGCTGGACAAAGAAGAAGTACTTTCGCTGCACAAAAATGTTCCTTTGATTGTTAACAAGAAAACATTGTAACTGTGTCAACTACGTCGTCCAGCAAACACTACTCGAATGAGTACTATAGCCTAAGCACGCCAGTTGGAGTACAAAAAATATCCTGGAGCTAAGTTTTTTGATGACATCCATGCTTCGCTACTTCAGCCGATCGCACATTCAGGTGCTAGTCATACTGAGGATAGGGCTATTGGAAAAGGCCAATAGCATAACAGAATGAGTTGAAAGTGGCAAAAAAAGTACATCGATGGAGTTATTGATAGGGTGAATAGGGTGAGAGCAATGCTCGTCCGAATAAAGCCCATGGAAGAGTACGCGAAGTCACTGTGAGTGGTGGCAGTAAGAAAGTGACGCTCCTGCAGGACAGATGAGAACGAGCTTTATGGAAATTCGTGGCTCTGGGACTCGGACGTGTTTTGGAAAAGTTCGTAGTTTTCATAACAGGGGAGGATCAGCCGCGCCGCATGACAGGTAGTCTGCAATTCACGACGGTGCGCCATCACCAAGCAAGGCCTAGTGGCACAAACCGCTGGCGCCGGGAAGTTATGGGTTCAGTTTCAGGTGGAGAAAAGGGATGCCCACCACTGACGAGTACACAAATGGGACGAAAGGGCCATCTCGTGCCTTTCCGAATGCATGGAAGCAACAGTAAAAAAAACCCTAATAAATTGTACCAAAGAAGAGTTAGAGGTTGTCTAGTGATAAATTCGCTCGCATTATTACTGTCACCCAGATTGATGGGTGGACTACCCAGAACATGACGGACTGCACAGGATTCAAACAAGCTCCCGGGTAGTGACGTGCAATTTCCTTTTTAAGAAACCATTATAGGTTTTCGTCGGTGAAAAGATCTGCTCTTCTAAAATCTCAGCCTGATTCGCTCAAATCTGCAAATCGCATTTTTTCTTCGTCAAACGCGGCGATGAGCAACAGTGATGGACACAGCAGTCTCGCCGCCATCGTCGTCATCACCATCACCATCAGTACGCGTTAGACAAGGGTGAGAAACACGGATCAGCTAATGTGCAACAACATAAAAAATATAATATCTTAAACATAAGATAATGCTAAATAGCATATTATGCACCGGGTATCAGGTCGTTGTTGGAAAGGGATACTAAAATGGATGGGGAGGGGCAGAGAAACAACACAAAAGCCATTGAGGTCGACTCCTTGCTATGTCAACAAGTGTATCCAGCCAGATATGTTCATCGTTCTTCGGACCCAGCCATGTATTTGGAGATACAAACCGACGCCAAATTCGAAGTGAGGGTGTCCATTCCACTTGATCAAGTCTTCGCTTGACCTCCCCTCTTCATCCTCCATAGACACCACCGGCGCGCAAACAACGCACGACGCGGGAGTCGGTGGGCTGGTATTCGCAACACGTGGCCTAGTCATCGGAGCCCAGTGCGTGATACATCGATGCTGAGCAGATCACTCGCTTTTCTTGCATCAAATACACGATGCCGAACACGTCCATTGCTCACGCGGTGTTCCCCCTAAACATGAGCTATGTTGCGAAGGCAACGATGGTCGAACTTAGCTAGCCTCTTTGTCTGTCGACTTGATGGGCCAGATTTCGCACTTGTACAAGAGGGTTGAACGGATGGATGCATTGTAAACTCTGTACTTCAAGATGAAAGTGATGTCGCGTCGGTGCCACAGGTAGCGGAGAAAGGCAAAAGCACCTCGAGCTTTTGCCCTACAGTTTGTGATCGCATCTTCCATTCCACTGGAGCTGATATAGCTGCCTCGATATCAGAATTTCTCAACGACTTCTAGCTGATCACCACCAAGGGTCAGCGCAGGGGTGGGTCCTTTTCAATCTTGAAGGGCTTTGCATTTCGAGGGTGCAAAGCATAGCCTAAAATGATTGCGAGCCACAGCTAATAGCTGCGTTGTCACGACGACAGTTTAATGAAGAGAGTCCAGCTGTTCCCAGCGTAATTTGAGTCGCCTCATATCGACAGTGCTGTTGAAGGGTGCTCCGCGCAAGTTTTGCGGAGCTATGCGAGGTCCGCCACACACACACACACATTGAGACAGTTTTAAGGACAAACAACCAGTGCGTAACTCACCCAAACGTGGTTTCGCATGCGCTGGCAAATACGGTAATATCTCTCGCCAGAATTGCAGCATCGCCTCACGTGCCGCCAGTAGTGCATGACAAAGATGATGATGCACAGTCACCGCGAGTTGTTTGCGACTGGACTGGAAGAGAAAACGAAGGTGAGATAGGTAGACGAGGAGTTTGCAGCAGTGAGCGCCACGATAGGCAGACCAACGAGAAACCAACAAGGATAAACTGAGAAGAAGATAAACGAACGAGTAAGAGAGCGGCGGTGGAGTGGGTTGTTTCAGTCACGCAGCTAGCATGGCAGCATACAAGCTAAGGGACGAAAATGGAAGATTGGGTTTGCAGACGGTGTCAGAAAAGCTCAGTACCGATGCTCATCGGAAATTCAAAGACTACCTATGAATCCACTACAGAGACTGGGGGAAAGATTACTTCACAAACCAACCAAGCGATGTAAGTTAAATGGTACCAATATCCCTATCCCGGGTGACTGGTTTCCGCTATGACCGCAAATGCAGTGTTGCACTTGGGAGTGCGATGACCCGTGTAGCCTGTGTATGTGTGTAATATTTTTATGCAAATGCGATAACCAGTGTTCGCGTATCAGCGGCGATTCGAATGGTAAAGTATGACAGGCTGAGTTGCCACATCTTTACCCACTGTGATTTGGAGGTTTGGAGTTGCGACGTAGGAAAATATGGGCACCAGTTGATCGAAGACACATCAGAAGCAATAGGACCAACGTAGGGATCTTCTTTGATAATGCTAGACCTATATGTAAGCGAGGCAGCAAGTTAAAAGACGGGATACATCTAGAGTAAGGCGGTCTACCCGTAGGACTTAACATATGAAACAGAGGAATCCAAGGATGTGTGGATTAACTGGGCATATGATCGCAACGACCAAGTGATCTCGTCACAACGCCACATCACTTAGGTTGAGTTCGGACATTTCAGATTACTTGTGCGGGTGTGTGAAAAACGCATGCTATGGAAGCCTTTTACAACGCTTCCACATTGAAACTCACGTACGTATGCGTATCATAAATGGCTCATATCCATGGGTCTATAGAACTACACAAGAATCATTGGCAAGCACCCGAGCGAACGCCATTGCCGCCAGAGAGAATAAGTCAAGGGAGACGGTATTCGCATCACAAATCGTCCACATTCGGTGCCACAAACAGATAGGCTGTTCACACCAAAATACGGAGCCTATGTAGACAACACCGTACAACCACACACGGGATGCATGGGAGTGAGAGCCTACAGTGTTCCTTCGATGCCGTAATATTCATGGGTATATGAGTATGCGTGAGAGTATCTCAAGAACAAGAAAATGCTCAGAGACTGTAAATGTGGTGTACGCAACGGAGACGTATACCGTGATCATGAGCACTGTACTCATCCGAGATCGGTGCCTACCATATACCCGCTCGTCCAACATAGTGGAGGCATACGTACCACAAATACATGATGTTGAGGGTAGGATGAAACATGTTCCATGGTAGAACAACGTAACGAGATAAGGTGATCGAAGCGGAGGGTGCAGAATGCGTAAGCACCATCTAGCGCGCAACCCCACACCGTGCGTGATCAGACCCAGTTTATCGCTTGCGAGATAGCCACAAAGCGTGTGACAACACACATACGTAATCTGAGTTCAACGAAGAAGAGCGTTGACCGCCATACAGTGATTGATTCTGATAGGGTTTGTCGGACTAAAGTGCAGAGAGAGAAAGGGTACAAGGTCCAAGACTCTTTCAGCCGCATCTGCTACATTGAGGACAGTGAGTATAACATTACCGTGATCGCAAGCGAAGAAGTAAATAATCCCAACCAAAGGTTAAAAGATTAGTGGAATGCTATCGACAAAATTTCAGCAGGATGCAATCATCATTAGCATCAACAGCATTACATCAGCCATTTGGACTGATGCTTTGCTGCCGTACAACCACGGTGACCCAAGGAAGGAAGAATAATCAAAGGAAGAGGGACCAAGCACAAAACCTTAGTATCCTAAGCAATAAATCATTACCCCACAGACAACAGTGCGAAGTATTTAGTCACAAAATGCAAAATTGTAATTTTATTCATTTTTTCCTACTCGTCAGCGTATGTAAATATTTTATTTTACCATCGTTAAGTCCTTTCTGCGCAACTACGAGCATTATAAAGCACGACCGTGACATCTGTTTATTCGCATCACTGGAACACCGTCTTAGTGGCTCAGAATCACGCACTTCACCGTTGACGTGCTGGTCGCGGCTGTCCGTCTCACCGCTGCCTCCCGTTTAGCACTGATCGGGAATACAAACTGTTGTGATTGTTTCGACTCACAGTTAAGAAACAATGAGGCTACATCTACAAACCTAGTCGTAAGTCATTTATGTACATTTAAATTGACTGTTATAGAACCACGTTTACGATTTTCGCTATATTGAAGTTTGCTCCGTTTGTCAAAGGATTCAAGCCGTGCATGAGACTAGGCTTAATTATTGCAATATTTCATCTACTGACACGTACACATAGCACCACAAACGACAAAATGGCAATCCGACTAGGAGACGACAGTAGACACGCCACAGATGCCGACTGCGAGCCATGTACTGAAACGTCTCGAGTCAAGCACAAGGCGAGTCACAGGGCTCCAAATTGGAAGGCTACATGGGCCAAAACGAACGTGTTTTGTAGTCATGGAGTTCATTTCTCTGCCGCTTTAACTATTACCCAGCTAGAGCCTTGCACCACCCTACATCTGGCAAACAAGGCCCTCATCGGTAAGCAGTGACCAGGCATACGTGGTACGTACCCAAGCCAACTCAATGTATTCAGTGCTATCAGTTGTTCTAAGGTACTGCTTACCACTAACCTACACACAATATCGTTGAGGACACGTTGGTGCCATCCGACACCAGCAATGCTTCGCAGGCCGCAATGATCAGAGTTCAAGCCGCAGCAGACCCTCAGACCGAAGGGGCCAGGTCTCACTCCCACACAGTAGGATGGCCCTCACTATGGGGAGGGAAACTCCCTTCTCGCGCCACGGATGTCGTAGACGCAAAAGACAGTCCTGGTTTTTGCAATATGTGAACGAACTTCAGTGGGTATGCGCGCATCGTTACTGATGCAGTTGCTAGGGGAACTGAAGTGATCAACTACCTCGAGTTCCTCGCTATCAAGGGTTAATGGGTCGGCAAGTGGCGCATGGTCCTGCAACATCTTGGAATTTGAAGGTGCGAGGCACATGCGAAATAGTGGGATCCCTTCAGAAACATTATTCATGATTGATTGGGTCACCCGAACAGCAAGAGAATAAAGTCCGCATAATCAAGAGCAACTAGCCTTTCACAAGGCCGCACCTCAAAGCCTGCATCGTGAGATTCCGCAAGAGAACACTCCATGAAGAAAATAGGCAAAAATGGGGAAATTGGGAAGCCGTGACAACCGCCACTTGTTCTCGGAAAGATATCCGAAAGGTCACCGTAGACGCTGACGCGACCTGTGATGTTCGAGTACAGGGATGCCACTATGCAAATACTCCCTTGTTGCAGCTCGAAAACACCGTACGACCTGTAGCAGTTCCCTACGAATCGTTTGCAGACATATCGCCATCTGATGCAGACACTTTCATGATCCTTCAATCGAGTAAAAAGATAAACTTGCAAGTAAAGGGAGAGGAGCATCGAAGACCATGCAGATGTGGTAAGACCCGAAATTACCAACCAACTCCAGTAAGCCGTAAAATGCACAAAAGTAGCACCCGCCGTACGATACTCGGTCAACACTGTACCAAATTAACCTAGTTGGAGAATTGAAAGTATAAGTGAGAGTTGTATCAGGAGGCAACATGGTAGACGTCGGTAACGACAGATTCCAGCCATTCCTGAGACCCATACAAGATAAGAGGTGAATCACATTAGTTTCGTTGTGTAAGTTAGCACAATACAAGGACTATGACACGACAACCGTCGTATCCAAGTAAGGCCTAAAAGTTTTCAAAAAAGATGAAATACTTGGTACTCTCAAGGTGCTTGGGTCGCTACACCCGATGTTCCGGAGCACAACCGAATAGTCGACATCAGATTTGCGTAAGTGGGGAGTAGCAGTGCGTAGTAGAACGATTTTCTAGCCGAAACAACTGATGCAAAGGGTTCTAAAAGAACAGAACGACGGGCACTCATACGGTGACCGGTTAGTAAGAGTTCATTGAGTGTATACGAGTGAGATTTGTTCCAGTTATAACCGTTCAAGCTCTAGCATGAAATGAAGCTGTCAGTGAAGTCTGCTATCTCGATTACCAAGAGATTGGCAAAGAAACTCACTGTGGACTTTATATAGCCACATTCCCCCTCGTGCATGAGATTTGATTCCCAGACCACTTATTCGCTTGCGGCTTTCTGATTGCGCTTTTGCGGACAAAAAATAAAAGCCAACCTGATACAGTTCCCGCCATTACTCTACCAGACAAATCGCTGACTTGAGCTCCTTACATGATAACAAATACTCTGAATAATCCCTTTACCCCACCGTTCACTGTCCTCTGTGACGTAGCTTTGTCCAGAACAACTGTTAGCCTAGTGAAACTGAGGACAGTGATTTCCAACAGCAGAGACATTCAGCGCCACACAGACGGACTACGAGCATCCTTTTATCCTGACCCAAACGGTCTACCAACTTCCTTGCTAAAACACGGTGGCCATGATATTCCATTTTTATTCTTAAACTTGTTCATCAAGTCCAGGGAGTCGGGGGGTATATCCAATTCAATGGAAACTCGTGCTAGTCAAGCCCAGGCACAAAAATGGCCCGAAAGCAGACATCAGAAACTACGCCCGATGAGTTACACGCCTGCTGTTGTGAGAGTAATGGAGAAAGCGAGAAACCGCATTTAGCAGTATGTCCCTACGAAGCAAATGAGAAAAATCCGTATCGTCAATAATGAATAAGAGTAAAACGGAAGTAGAAAACTAGCTGAGGAGTGTGAAGGACAACCTCGGACTGGGTAAATGGTATAGCGTATATTCCGAAATCAACGATTCCACCAAAGATCTATGGACTGCCGAAAATACATAAGCCCGAAGTTCCCGTTCGGCCTCGTGTAGATGGTATCGGTTCTCCAACGCACGAACTAG